GAGCAGCGGCAGCAGCAGCAGCACCAGAAAGTACCTGCATAAAAAGCCGCCATACATCTGCGATTCTGAGGGTTCTTCCCTCCTTTGCTAGCCGCTGCAATGTCAACCCATAATACTCCATCTGCACGAACACCGAAAGCTGCGTCTGGTTCTCAGCAGTTGCCGCTGCAGTTCCGGCTGCAGTTGCTGCTGCAGTTGCTGCTGCAGTTGCTGCTGCTGTCGCTGCTTCTGCTGCTTCTGCCGAGCCTCCGCGTTCTCCTTCCCTGTCGCCTGCGGTCCCCCACCTCCTAGGTTGCATTGGTACTGCAACAGCAACAGCAGCAGCAACAGCAGCAGCACTGGCGGTCTCGTATCCTGTCGGAGGTCGTGCTGCTGCTTTTGCTGGGAACCGCTTACCTGTCTCTGCAGCGCTTTCATCTTGCGCAACAACAGGAGGCGCAACAGCAGCAGCTGCTGCTGCTGCAGGAAGCCCTTGAGTTGCAAGGGGCGGCGTGCTGCTTGGTGTTGGCCTNCAGCAGCAGCTGCTGCTGCTGCAGGAAGCCCTTGAGTTGCAAGGGGCGGCGTGCTGCTTGGTGTTGGCCTCGTCGGCTTATGAACTAGCTGAGACCAGCACTGGTGATAGCGCATTAGAAACTACAGGCGCAAAAGCAGCATCAAATCAAGCAGCAGCAGCAACAACAGCAGCAAGCACGCAAAAAAGGCTGATAAACAATCCCTAAAGCAGTCACTGCCGCGAAGCAGCACTACCAGTCTTGGCCATGGAGCGCTGCACGCGGCTGGCGTGGTCCATACACACACTGCAGCGGCAACAAGAAGAGCACTAGCAACAAGAGCAGCAGCAGCAAAAGCAGTAACAGCAGCAAGAGCAGCATCAGCAGCAGGAATACTCACGGGGTGCTCTAGCGTACAGAGCATCGCAACCTCGTGCAGCACCCTCTCGGCATCGGCTACAACGTCCAGACCTGATATGTGCCATCGTTGCTGCTGCATCTTCAGCTGCTTCTCTTGTTCCTGCTGCTGCTGTAGCAGTACCTGCTGCTGGTCTTGTTCCTGCTGCTGCCGCTGCTGGGGCAGGTCATCGTAAACCCTGGTGTATTGCATTTTGTGTTTTTTCTTGCCTCTCTTTTTTTTGTGGCGCTGTTGTTGCTGCTCCTGATCCTGCTGCTGCGGAGGGTCCTCGTGCAGGAGCTGCTGCTGCAGCTCGTCGGCGCCCCCCTTGGCTCGCTGCACCAACGAACGAGGAATAAAGAAGAAGAATTCCTTTATCAGGTACAGCCTGCTGTCAATCAGATGCCTCACCAAGCAACTGCGTTTGTGGGGTTGAGAAGACAAAACCTGCAACACCACCCAACACACACAGCAGCATCCCCGCATCAACAGCACTACAGCCGGGCAGAAGCAGTAGAATCAACCACAACCAAGCAGGAGCAGCACTGCAGCAGCAGCGCCACCACGGCACGTCCACCACGCCAACACAAACCCTGCAAGCACCACCAGCAGCAACAGCAGCAGCAGCAGCAAGAGCGGCGGCAGCAGCAGCGGGACTTGCTTCGACGAGCAAAAAGTCTCTCCGGTGCCTCGGCTGTTGGTTGACAATATGTTGNCAGCAGCGGGACTTGCTTCGACGAGCAAAAAGTCTCTCCGGTGCCTCGGCTGTTGGTTGACAATATGTTGTAGGAAGCTGAAGATGTTTTCTTGCTGCTCAGCACGGTAAAATTCGGCGCTGCCGCTGGTGCCACCAGCCGCAGTTGCAGGAGCAACAGCTGTATACGCCGCTACAGCCGAATGTGTTGCTGCTGCTGTCCCCGCAGCTGATGGTTCTGCTGCTGCTGCTGCTGTTGGAAGCATCGACAGTTCTTCAGCTGGCTCTGGGAAGCCGCGGGCTGTGCTGCTGCCTGGGGTCGGCCACCCTGCTGTTGCTGATGCTGCTGCCGGGTTGAGGCTCTGCTGCATGCAAAAAAGTCAGCCAACGAGCATAAAACAGCGAGCTAGCAGAAGCAGGCATGAGCAGCAGCGCATAGCAGCAGCAGCAGCTAGCAGTAGCTGCGGCACCTAGCCGCAGTAGCAACAGCAAAAGTTGTAGCTAACCTGAGAAGGGCTGGCCCTCAGTTGCCTGAGGCTGCTGCTACACGACGATGGGCCGCCGCCTCCGTACAAGCAATGCTGAAGACACAATCTCGCAGCAGCAGCGACAACAGCAGCAGGACGTGCTAGTGCAACAGCTGCAGCAGTTGCAACAGAAGCATCTGCATCAGCAAACGAGCCGGAAAATAGCATTTGCAGGGAGCAACAGCCTTCACCAGCTGTCGTAGTTCACAGCGGCAACGAACAGCAAGGACAGCAGCGTCAGCAGCAGCAGCAGCAGCACACACCTGGAAGTCTGCCGCTAGGTCTCGTGCAGCAACGGAAAGGCGGTTGGGTCTGCTCAGCCGCTCTGCGATGTTGCAGCTGCAGATCAAGTCACACAACCCTTTCTGTTTTTGTTGCTTCTGGTTCTGGTGTTGCTCCAGCAGCAGCAGCAGCTGCTGCTGCAGCACTTGACCCACAAGGAGGGAGGCAACAGCAGCAGCGAAGGCTGAAGGAAGTGGGTGTTGCACTGAAACAGAAGCGGTGGCATGGGTGACAACAGCGGCACGAGGGACAGCAGCAACAGCCGAAGCAGCAGCCGCCGAAGCAGCAGCACCCAAAGTAGCAACAGCAGCCGCAGCAGCAACCTAAGCCTCAGCAACAGAAGGAGCAGCAGCAGCAGCAGCAAAGCATGACCTACAGAGGCGTGAGGGGCAAAGCACCATCCATTTGCTTTTCTTCCCCTCTGAGCCTCGCAGCGACCGCCATGTGGAATTCGGCTGCTTGCTGCTGCGTCGTTGCTGCATCTCCGTCTCGCGCTGCTGCTGCTGCTGCTGCTTCTGCTGCGGCGGCCTTTTTGCTTTTATGCAGAGTCCCTCGTCTCGCACGGTCTCGCATCAGCTGCAGCTGCAGCTGCTCCAAGTGCTGCTGCTGCTGCTGCTGCTGCTGCACTCGCTGCTGCATCTCTTCCCATAGATTTGGCTGCGAAGGCAGTTTCACCAGAAACGTCTCGACGTGCATCGCCAGTGCATGCAGCAGCACCTCCCGCCTGCACCAGCAGCAGCAGTAAGACACCCACAGCAGCAGTAGCAGCAGCAGCGGGTCATCGGCAGCAGCAGTAGCATCGCATAGCCGACAACAGCAGCGGCATCCAACGCCGTGAAAAGGAGCAGCAACGGCACGCATCAGCAGCAGAGCGCAGCAGGAGCAGCAGCGCCAGCGTACGGTTCCTTGTAGTAAGCACTCGAAAGCTGCTGCAGCAGCAGCTCCAGCCTCTCGGCTGATGGATTGCAAGACAGGCCAATGCAAACGGTTGGCCGCGCCGCCGGATATCTGAAGAATTGCACTACACACTGCGAGAGGCAGCAGCGATAGCAGCAGCAGCAGTAGCAACAGCATTTGCAGCAGTAACAGCAGCAACAACAATGGAAAAAGCAGCAACTGCCACAGTAGCAGCAGCAACGGCGTCGGTGCGGCCACACCATCCGCGACAGCTCCCCCGAACCCTGCCCAGCGGCAGCACAAACGGNCAACGGCGTCGGTGCGGCCACACCATCCGCGACAGCTCCCCCGAACCCTGCCCAGCGGCAGCACAAACGGGGCAGCAGCAACAGCAGCGCAGCGTAACACAATGCAACAGCAACAGCAGCAGCAGCATCGGCGTACGTTGGCGGCAACAGAGCATCAATGACTGCTGTGTGCTCCTCTGTCCTGAAGGTGCTGATGTGAAACGCTATACGGACAGACTCCTTGCTGCTGCTGCTGCTGCTGCTGCTGCTTCCAGCGCGGCCATCGCCCCCCAAACGACTGCCACAACACTCGCAGCGGCAGCAAAAAGCCACTTTGAGTTGCTGCTGCTCCGAGAGGGCAGCTGAAGAGCAGCTCTCTATGCTGCTGCTGCTCTTACAGCTAAAGCTACTGTCTCGGCTGCTGCCTCTGCTGCCGCAACTGCTGCTGCGGCCCTCAACACTGCCACCGGTGTCCCGACGAGCCTTGCCACTGCTGCTGCTGCTGCTGCTGCTGCTGCTGCTGCTGCTG